CTAAATCACATTTTGTTATTTAAATCCCGGTAGTCAATTTTTTTACAAGTAGATACATAGGTAACTTATAATAATTCATATTGTATTTTAATTAGGTACCAAAAAAATATAATTTCTCAAACACCATGTCTTGGGGCACTGGCGGGAGAATGTATTAGAATGTCCATAAACTTGCGGACCTGCAATCTGTGTAGTTAAATTTGGCATGCGTACTATAACAGAAATCGAAAACTAGAATAAGTACCTACATTGCAGATCACAAAGATTTCTGTAAATGAACATACGATTTACCAATAGACCGTATTATAGGACATAGGTACTGAGCTCGATGCCTCGATGTAGGTAAAACGGTGTAGTCACTAGTCACTATCAATATTGTACGTATGAGAAATAAGTGAGTACCGTTTTTACAGCAGTTTAGTTACACAATTGTCACCAGGAAGCGCTAAGAAGGCCGGTTTCGGAAATATTTTATAAGCAATATGGTGTATTTCAGTATATTTTTTTGAATAATAAACATATTATTAACATATTGATGAACATTGTTTATTTATATTTTATTATTCTATAGTACCACAGTACCAAACTACCTATAGTAGAAATATAAGTTATAACTAAAGACCGGATTTATATTCTCTTAAAATACCCAAAATATGATGCTAATATTCTCTAAAAACCCTTTAAATATTCTCTCAAAAATTTAAAAAATATGCTAAAATATGCAAAAATAATCAAAAAACATCATTATATGCTTTAATATGCATTTATTTTTTAAAATTTTTTTTCAACTATATTTTTATAGTGAGATATTAATTAGGTATTAAGAGTTGCGTATTATACCTAATGGAATAGTATTGCATTTTAGCAAGAGTAGGAAGTTGGAATATAATATAAATATAACAGTATACTGTATAATATTAAAACACAAAAACAAAATTTTGATATTTGAATATTTGATAAACTCACAGATATATACAATAATTATATATTGTATATATCTGTGGATAAACTTATAAGTTGATCTTATCAGTAGATATACATAGATAAACCTTGATAATACTGATTGTTTTATTTTTATCAAAATGAAAAAATAAATAAATAAATTGTAAATGGTCAAAAAAAATTTTTCAGAGTACCGTAATATTAAAATTAAAAATAAATACAAATTTTTGCTCACAATTTACGAAATATTCCAAAATATGCTAAATTGGTTGAATATTCCCCAACCCATGAAATATTCTCAAATATGCAAAAAAAACTTTTTTCTACGCATTCAGAATTGAACGAATCGTCCACATTTTTTACTCTCATAAGACTGCATAGACCCAGTAACGATATGTAAAAACATATAAATCCGGTCTTTAGTTATAACCATCCACACCAACCTAAAACTAGTAAAACTTATTATTATTTTTAAACATTTTTCATATTGTGCTAATAAATATGCCCAACAAATGTTTTGTTCCCGCATGCAAGTCTGGTTACTTAAGTAATACTAAAATATTAAAATCAGCAAGGAAAAATGTACCATCCATGTTCCATCCACCACAAGTAATATAGATAGTTATTGTTTTGTTTTAAATTATAATAATATTTTGTATACTTAATTATGTACTGTAACATACCTCTAACGAAACTTAACACGTTGACCATCGAGAGGAAGCCTGCGTCCACAAATTTTTTTATTATTCTACTGATATTTATACAACATTTTTTTTAAGACAAAAGAAAACTATACAATACATATAAGTAGGTATATAACTTAATACTAAAATAATTAAATATACAATTAATTATACAAAAAACCAATAATAAAGAACAGTCTGATTTTTAATACAAATGTAATGTTTGCATTATGTCATTTAAATCAAAATGTTCTCTAGGGTTCTTACATTCTAAGTTATCTCTTAGAGACTTTATATTTTTAATAAGAATAACAAATACAATGTTTGAATATGTAGTCTAAATTATTTATTTATTAATTATCAACGGACATACACCCTTTAACAAGAAAAAAAAACATTACATAATAATTGACACATATTAAACTAATAACAAAGGGATAAATAAAAATATAACTAGAAAGACAAAAAAAAAAATATATAAAAAAATACATAACAACTAATACAGATATTCTGGTATAAACATGAAAGTTTTAAAATTATTTATCTTGCAGGACTTACTATCTGTATGGAATAATAAAATACAGCGGAAAGATAGGAACTTATCCATAAAAGATGTAGTTTGCGGTTTACATTTTAAAGAAGATGATTTTTTAAAATATGAGTGTAAAATGCCTGATGGGTCAATTAAATACATTGAACGAATACGTCCGGAATTGAGAGAAAATGCTATTCCGACAATATTTTTAGGCTTACCAGAACAATTTTCAAATGTAGGGGCAAAAAGACCGGCACCAAAAAACAGGCAAGAAATAAAAAAAACAAGTGACCTAGATGAAATTAAAATAGTACAAGAACAAAATTTACCGAATGAGTAAGACACTACTTGTACTTAATGATACTACAACATAAATTTATTAATTATATCAATAATATAAAATGTTATTTAATTATATTTTGGGGTTTCTTATATTTTCAGAATTTTTGAATTGAAGGAATCTTTTTCAATAGCTTATCTTTACAAAATTGTAAAAAATATAATACTTCCAGGGATAATGTGGGGACTGCATTTGATTCCATTAGAAAAAATAGCATTTGTTCACATAAATGATCAACTAAAAACTGATAAAACTGTGGTTTTTACTGATTCATGTTTACCAAGTGTAGTCATTATTGATAAACAAATTGAAGTTAATGAAATAAAAAGTGAAAACGATTTGCAACTATTACTTCAAAATGTAGATAGCTTTAAAATATGTAAAGGAGTTAATAATTGTTGCCAATCAAAATTGTGTGTTCGTTTCTTTGATCCTTCATAAAATTCTTCGAGAATTGTAAGATGTTCTAACTGTGCATCAGAAAGAAGAAAACTGCAAAAAGTAAAATCCACAAATTTAATACCAGCTAAAAAACTTCAACGACTAACAAGAAAGTTAAAAACTAAACATCAACAAAAAACTAGAATTAAGAATAATGCAAGTTAACTATTTTTTAGAATAGATTTAAAAAAATATTTCCTATTTTATTAATTATACATATACATAATATCAAATATGTAAGTAAAATAATGACTTCACTTATATACTAGGTAATTTTGCTAAATTACATTTACAATATTGATATTCTAATTTTAAAACTATTTATAATGAACAATCCAGTTTTAAAAAAATTCATAATTATGTCTATTATAATTAAAATGTTAAAGACTATTATCAACTGTCGGTTTTTTATAATGTATTAACTTTATATCTGTTTCAAATATATAGTTGGTTACATTGAAGCAGAAATTATGGACAATGCAAAAAGAGTGCAGCCTTGTTTCTAAGGATATGTTGAATGATCGCATACTGGATCTGCCAATAGAGCAACAAGAAATGGTTAAAACAATTTTTAATGCAGCAAAATGTAAAAGCTCTAAAGGAAGAAGATATAGTCTAGAATGGGTATATGAATGCTTGTTAATGCGTATCAAGGGACCAAAATTATACAGAAAAATGAGAAAAGAAAATAAACTTGGAAGGTATATCAAAAAATTGCACACTGCTTATGGATTCCAAGAAAACACATTTCAAGTCATGAAAGAGAAAGCTCAAGACTTTAGTTTGGCGGAAAGACATAGTAATTGAAAGATATTTATATATATATTTTTAAATATTTTCATATAGGTATAGAAAAAAATGTAAAAAATAAATTTAATATTTAGGTTGTTTACTTCTGGATGAAATGCAATTAGAATCAGCTGTAAAATTTCAACGCGATAGTTTACAGTTTCATGGTTTTGTTGACCTTGGTGCCCATACTTCAAACAAAGATTTGACAAAAAGAGGTGATCATGTACTTGTACTGATGTATCAACCATTCCGTGGCAACTGGGTACAACCGATTGGAGCATTTCTTGGTGCAGGCGCTGTGAATGGAAAAATTCTAGAAAAAATTGTTTTAGAAGCAATTATTCTTCTAGAAAGTAGTGGTTACTTTGTAGATTTTATCACAACAGATGGTGCTACTTGGAATAGAGCAATGTGGAACCGATTTGGAATTTCAGAATCCTCAACATCATGTATGCATCCTATTGATTCAGGTAGAAAACTCTGGTTTGGTTCAGACTTCCCACATCTGATTAAATGTCTATGGCACAGACTAATATCTAGAAAAGTTCTTGAAGTAAGGCATAGTTTAAATCAAACACATTAAATTAATAATTTGATATATACATACATATTTCACTAACAATTATTCTAAATCTTCTTATACCTCCTAATTTAACTAGTTACCTGAGGGTACAGTGCGTCTCGATCATTGGAGGGCTGTTGTAGAACAAAATGAGAAGTATAGCATTAAGGTTTGTTGTATCCTCAAAAATGACCATATAAATCCAAGCAACTATCAAAAAATGAATGTTAAAATGGCTATGCAGGTATGTATTAACTTGACCAATTTGCAGTACCTAATATCACTTCATTATTTTACTAAAAATTAATTTCAGTTTTTTGGACACTCTGTAGCAGCTGCAATGGAACACTACAAAAAAAAAGGAATTGAATCATTAAAAAATTGTTTACCAACAATTATGTTTATAAAACGTATAAACAAACTTATAGATGCAATGAATTCACAGCAGCCATCTGATGGTTTAAAACCTGATCCGCTCTCTAATCATAATTCAGTAAAAATCTTTTGATATCTATAAAAAAAGAATTATATTTTCATGATGCACATATTTTTGTTTTTGTTTTTTTATATTTTATCAACTTAACAGACATTAACAAATTTTTTGGAATATTTAAAGAAAATTGATGAAATGGCAGCAACTAAAAAATACAATCGTATGACCCAACACTCAAAAAAAAGAAATTCTGTGTAGGCGCTGCAGATAAAATGACAGCATCGACGTACTTTGGATTATACGTTACAGTAAAAAACACTTTGGAGCTGATTCAATATTTGTCGGAAAAATTGAATTATAAATACTTAATGACAAGACAATTAAACCAAGATGCTCTGGAAGTGTGTTTAACATAAAAATAAAATATACTTAATGATAATAAATGTAATAACTTTTAACTTTACATTTTTTAGCATTTTTTTGGACACATGAGAGGAGCCAGTGGATCCAACTCTCATCCAGATTCATTGTTGTTTGTTCAAGTTTATAGGCTTCTATCTGTGTACTCATTGGTTAAACCAATACGTGGAAGTAATGTTACAGGAAGTGAATTACTATCAACCATAATTTCCTTAAAAGATTTGGTTGGTAAGGAACATAAGGAACGCAAAGAACATTTTGAGAACATTATTGATAATATTATAAACAATGCTTCTCCACTCATGGATATTGAAATTGAAGATAATACTTTTAAAGAAATGATTGATGAATATGCTTTAACAGTATTTGCTGGATACACAGCAAGAAAAATAAGAAAATCCAAACTAGCAAAGAACTGTCATGAATGTTTTGAATCTTTATGTGACTCTAAAAATGAGAGTACATTAGAAAGAAATAGTTTCCTACTTTCCTTGAACAGAAAAGTCATGGAGGACTTTTAAAGCCATCAAATGATCTGTATAACATTGTTCTGCAGGTAAATATAACAAATAATAAGTAATTTTTTAAATGATTCCATAAATCTACATTTAAAAATCAAACCTAACTGTTAACTAAATTAATATTTTCAGCTTGAACTTACTATTGTACAAACAGTTAAATCAGGAAAGTTACATAAAAACATGGTCAACACAGCTTTAGATTAGCTAGAATCATCTAGTAACATTGTGAAGATAGGATGCTCTGACCATGTCCATAAAAAAGAATTTACAATAGCTGTAGAAACATTCTATTTAATTTGTAGGATGCATTTTATCAGCACTGAAGCTGAAAAAGAAGTTGCTGAAAAAAAAAAGCGAAAATAGCTTAATAAATTAGCAAAACTAGGTTAGTTATCTATTCAATAATTTTTATATTTTTTAAATTAAAGATTAAACAAAGAAAATACTAGTTGTACATAATATTATGTATCTACCCCCATATCTACAAGGTATCTGTATATCCAAAATAAGCCCTAAAAAGCGACGAGTTATCACTATACATACTATACAACATAACTTTATTTGTCTGAATACAGTGTGTTTATGGATTATAATATAAACTGAAAACTTAGATTAGGTAAATTAGCCATTTACATTGGTGCCATCATTTGTAAAACGTTGATTTATTTATGTTTCAAAAAAAATTGACTTGTTAGGTCATCCGTCTGCCAGTAAGTTTTTCTAAGCGCTTTCTCATGCCACTTTTTTTTGTTCGACACGCAGCCAGTCTATCTTAAACCGTGCTATATACTTATGTAAACAGGTCAAGGAGTGAAAACACAAATTAACTATGCATACGGACTCGTAACTTTTTATATAAAAATATTGACGTCCTCCGCGGGGCATTATAGTAGTGTTGCGCGCATACGTTTACACGTAAAATCGCAAACTTTGGAAGGCTATAACTTCCAAAATAATGGTTTCCGCACAAAAATTCAAACAGTTTTGAAATCAACGTTGAAAAACACGTCTTTTAAAAAAATTTCGAAATTCGTGAAGGGCGTGGTAAAGTGCATTTGTTCCTTAACTAGCATAGTATTGATTGAAATTTGATGTTTAACCTTAAATCAATTTTATAATTTATTTATTTACAATCAAAGCAATAATTCTATATTACAGACAAATTGTATGTATAAACAAATAACTATCACAAGAAATGGTACCAATACTTGAAAAAATAAAGAGACAATGGGTGGAGATGTATTAGCATCCTTCACCCAAGTGAATATATGACAACATTGTACTACCTATATAAGATAATATGATAAAAAAACTGTTTACTTACTTCATAAAATCTGTCGTACATATATTATCAGAAATTATTCTGAACACCTTTAACATTTTTATCATTTATACCACTGCTAGAAATCTCATTCTTTTGCTCTTCATCATATTCTACCTAAAAAAAATTACAAAAAAATAAAATAATATTAATAAAATACTATAATAACTAAACAATTATAAACATATTATGAAATATAGCTTATGGTACCCACCTTTGCGAAGAAAGTGTGTCTGGATGGTATACTAACTTGTGTTTATTTACATGATGCAACCATTCTCTTACTTTAGAGTTTGACTCTATTCTGTCAGGCTGCATGCCATAGGGAAGTAATGGCAAAGAAGACGAATCCTTTGGTAAATATTACTTATTACTTAACAGTACCTAATGTATTATATTTTTTAGATAAATTGATCAACTTCGCTGACTGGTTTCTTCTATGCCAGGCCTCCATACCAATTAACCAAAAAAATAGTCCTTGAACAACAATAAAACGAACGACGTAACATTAAGCAATGATATATTGACTTGGATATATTAGATTAATAGAAATATTATGTATCAATATAAAATATAATCATTACATACTTGACTAAGACTGTGGAAGGTGGAAGTATTCTTGTAAATATATTTTTAATTACAGACTGGCTAAATAACTGAAGTAATAACCAGTAACCACGCTATTACGCTAATAAGTTATAAGTTTATAACTAAAGTAATAAGTAGGTAATATTACATTATCACATCAACAAAAACATTAAAACAAAATAACATTCAAATTTATTACGTCTATAAATACCGTGATAATCACAAAGATAGTAATAATTGTTATCAAATTAATAACAACAAAGGAACAATAAATTCTAGGTTATCGCCCACTCGAATTTTTCGATTTTTTTTTCGGAAACCTATGTATTTCGACGAGTTTAAACGATGGTGTAAAAATTAGTTCGCGGAAATGATTATTTTGGAAGTTACAGCCTTCCAAAGTTTGCGATTTTACGTTTATACGCATGCGCGCAACACTACTATAATGCTCCGCGGAGGACGTCGATATTTTTATATTAAAAGTTACGAGTCCGTATGCATAGTTAATTTGTGTTTTCACTCCTTGACCTGTTTGCATAAGTATATAGTGACTCCCTTCGCCTATCGGCTCCGGTCGCCAATTAGAGTAACAGAAGTCTATAGAAGCTCCCTACGAATACCGGCTCCGGTCGCCAAACTCGAGGTCCTGCGGACCTCTCGCTGGATGGGGGCTCGGCCCCCAAACCCCCCGGGGCTTTAATAGCAAACCTGGGGGTGGAGGGGTGGCGGGGGGAGAGCATACCTGCCCTTCGGGCAGACGGGTGACCTAACAAGTAATTTTAACCTTGTTAGTTGGTATCACAAGTATAGTGGCTCTGGTCTTCAAACTCAAGGGACCTCGCTCCCGTCGCCTATCACTACTACATGTTAACCGATGTTGTTGAGTCTGCAGAGTCGGAATCTAGCACCGACTCTGAGATAGAATCCGAGGACGAATCCTAAACTGTTTTTTTTTAGTTTAAAAATAAAATATAAAATATTAGAATTGGTTTTACTTTTTGTCAGTCTCCTTATATGGGTTTCAGTGTAAAAAACAAAAAAAGTATCCCTTGACTTGATATGCAACACCTTACACCACCACAAGTAGGTAACAGGGCAGGCACGGCACTAGAATTTTTTTCCAGGGGGGGCAGAGTGGGGCAAATATTTTTTTTACATGGGCTAAAATTGTTTCAACAAATGCTGAGGTTATTTAAATGAAATATAAATATTTTCGTATCATATAACATAATATAGCTATTAGCTATATAGTACATACGTTTTAATCGTTTTATATTGTATGCTCTAAACGTCTAAACATATAATATTTACAAACTTTTGAATAGTTAAAAATGTTTTAAGAATAATATCAAATATTTTTTTTGTACCTTATGTAATATTTAAGAAAATGTTTAATCACAGACCTAAGACCTTCAACAACTATATTCATAATGATAATATGATTTACAAAAATAATAATTTCTTTATGAGCTAAATATTGATTTTTTATAGAATATCTGTTTATGCACCATACAGTAAATGATTGAAAATCTTTTAATATTGAAAAAGTTAACAAAAATGTATACAATTGCACTGATATCAGTATGAATACAATTTGTTTTAAATAAAAACTTTTGATTACCTACCTTATATTTAACTAGTACATTTTAAATTTTTAATTCAATACATTTTTAAATTGGTATTTGCATAGTAGTGTATGTATTGACTATTGAAGTACCTACTTTATATTTTTTGTTAAATTTTGGAGGTTAAAATAGTTCATATATATACATTAAAACATAGATACTTTAAGAAATATTTTTTTATTAATTATCAAGTAATATGTGAACTAATTACCATGACAAATAAGATTATAAAAATTAAAAATAACAAAATAAGAAAATTGAATAAATTATTTAATTATTTGAAATAAGAAATTTGTCATGCTAATTACTAAACTAATATAAGTAGGTAGGTACGAATACCAACTCCTTACACAATAGTATTGTGTTAATCAAACATAAACATATTTAAAATAATAAGTCAACTAAAAATATTTTTAACTGTATACAACAAACATTAATTATATCGTACATATTTTTCAGTGGGGGGGGCTGGCGAGGGGGCTGATCTGTTTTCTGGGGGGGGCTAGAGCCCCACCTTGCCCCCCTTGGCGCCGTGCCTGTAACAGGGTAAGTTATGTTGTATAGTATGTACTATGTATAGTGATAACACGTCTTGCGGCACTCGTCGCTGCGCTTATAGTAGTGTTGCGCGCATGCGTATAAAGGTAAAATCGCAAACTTTGGAAGGCTGTTACTTCCAAAATAATCATTTCCGCAAATTAATTTTTACACCATCGTTTTAAACTCGCCGAAATACATAGGTTTCCGACAAAAAAAATCGAAAAATTCGAGTGGGTGCTAAACAAGAATTATGCCATTTTTTTAATATATATCCAATCATATTGACTATTGTGTACTACTTCATTTAGTATATTTATTAGGCAGTGGTATTACTTATGTGTTTAGGTAGTTGCAGGTAAGCATAATATAAGATTGTTAGTTTATTATTCATTATTATTCTCCTAGACTCTACGCCATACATGTCAACTTATTGAACTTAAATAAACAATCTTAGGTACATATAACGATTCATTATTTGAATAATTAACCCGTAAGTGGTATGGTCTAGTCCCATAGAATTAAACTGAATATGCTCGTAAAGTTATTTTTATGAAGTATTAAAGATTAATTAATTACATGGTGATTTATCACGACGTTTTTGAGTAAAAATGAAAATGAAAAATCAATATTTACAACAGATTAGAACAGGGGCGGAATTAGGAGGGGGTGGTTAGAGGGATAGACCCCCCAAAAAGTTTTTTTTACTGCTAACTTTTTGATCAAATTATTGATAATGACCATTCATGTTTGCTAAAAACGTATATCCCCCCAAACCAAATTCCTAAGTACGCCACTGGATGAGAATGTTCGTACGAATATTGTTCTATAAAACGAACATGACGTTCATTACTTAGTAACACAAGTCACAAACACAATATTGAGTATTTAGTATTTACTATTTCGGTCTATTGCCGATTTGCCCACCC